TTTCAGATGCCTTTATAACCTCTGATATTTCACTGGGTTTTAAATTTATATTGTTGTATGTCACAATCTTCCACCCTTTGTGATATCATGCAATTTTTTTTAACTGTATAATTGTCCCATTAAGAAATACATTCAACAAACTTTCCTGTTGGCCCTGGGAGCCTGCAGTGTTTTGTTCATGGCTTCAGTGTGTTGGCACAACTCTTTTCACAACAATGGAACAGCTAAACGTCTGGCTTTCACCCATAACACACTATAACTCCCTATTCAAAAGCTTAATTCCTTTTGCACAATTTGTAAATTTTTTTCATTACACATGCTGGTTACATCTCAGGGTGAATCAGTCAAATGGTCTCTAAATTAAAATAGTTGGCTGATCTAAGCCCAGTCTGTTGCAATGCAGTTTTCTCACAGCTTGGAAGAAAACAGACAATATAGCCACTATAGAAATAGGTGATTATTCTTTCTCTCTGTCTTTTTCCAGGTAACTGAGTAGATGAATGTAGCCTAAAGTTTTAATCTTCTAGGTAATTAGCAGAAGTAGGTGAAAAGGGAAGTCAATAAAGCGTGTATCCCTGAATAGGTCACGCCGACAGTCAGGATGTCACTGTGAGGACAGGAAATCCTTAAATTAGAAGCATCATTTTAGGCTCTAATTTAATCCATAAACCAGAGTCAAAAGTGTTTTAGAACAATACACACATGAGAATATTTCAGTGGGGCTGTGAACTTCACAAAAGACACAAGCGTAGGGGCAAGAGGCATATTTGTCTTTTCTTGTGCCTTTTCTTGCCACCCTCAAAATAATCCATGGTATTTTTGGAGGTTGAGAAAACAAGGCTTCAAAATCTCTGAATTAGACAAAATTCTGTGTTTTGTAAACAGAGACAAGTGAACTCCAAATTGAACTTAATAGGGCAAATTATGAAGTGCTTTGGACGACGGGAAGTCCAACGCCCACCACGTTGGGCTTGGAGCTGCTGAATTTAGATCAGTGACAGATCTGACCCAAAGGTTTGTCCTTCTCCACATTGGAGAACGAAGGTGCACATCCTCCTCTCTTGGTGGCCACCATCATGTAGCTCAAGATTTGCTTTTTACGTTCAGGGGAGGAGAGGAGAAACAAGAGCTAATCTCATAAAGGTTCACCCCACCCTCTGCTTGGCTTCTCTTCCTTGGCAAGCCTTCCCAGCAGCAGCTGGCTGCCTGTTTTTCTTCTGCAATTGTGTTCATGACATTTCCTGCAAGTAGGTTTTCCTGAAGGTTTCCAGCAGTCCTTTCAGCTCACATCCCCCTTTTTTTGGCCTCCTCACCCACTAACCATGGCTTGTTCCTAGTTCCCAGCAAGTGCCTCATCCCCATCACACATCCATGCACATTGGCTGTAAGCTTTCCAGGCACACACTGGATTTCTGGGATTTGCTTGTGAGTGTGACTGATTCACTGAGGGTAAGTGGTGACTGTAAGGGATGCTGAACAGCCGTGATGTAAATAGGCACAGTCATGGAATTGCTAAGGTTGGGAAAGACCTCCAAGGTCATCGAGTCCAACCAGTCCTTCCTCGAGGTCCCTGCTCCATGACACAGACACAGACTTTGCCCTGTTTCTTGGTGCCAAGAGGTTGCTTTTCTCTTTTAATGTAATCTTTTCTTTGAGAAGCTGCATGTGGCCCTCTCCATGCAGAAGGACTGATATGAAGAATGTAGATGAGGGAGAGCTCGTGCACAGATCCTGGGTTATTTAGTGCTGGTACTTTCCCTCTCCACACTCCTGAATGCTCCATAAACTGTCCTTTCACAGGCTTTTATAAACACTCAAGTGACTTAATCTTTTAGTGTAAAAGCCTACTTGTATTTTAAGCTTTCTGTTATCAATGTCATTAAATCGATATCCTCAGTTCTGCAGGATTCAAGTCACATATAAGCTGTCACACACAGTTTAACTTGAGAAGTCCAGTATTTAGGCACAGTTAGTTCATTTTTCATAGATTAGAGAGTACTTCGTAGTAGAGCTGCTGAAGATCAGAAGGAGTTTATTCCTCTGTAGCCACTTTCTTATATGTTGGGGTCTTTCTAATCTAATGGCAGTTTTGTTGCAGAACTTCAGTGAAGTTTGAGAGGATGAGCATTTTATGCAGTTATCATAAATGGCACTGGAAAGCCTTGTGAAGGTTGTGTCATGGGTGATAAAACATGGCACATATTCTTTAAGAGAAATGAAAAGGCAGATTAGTATGGACCCTTCTTGTCCATTTTTTAATCCATTAATCTATTTATTTGTAATTATTACTTATCTATTTTTTCCATCCAGGTACACACAAAATTCTGGACAAGTCAGAGGCTGTATGGCCTCACTTGGTGAAGTTCATTGGATAATGAGTGACATCTGTGTTTAGAGTTGAGATGGAGAAAAACAATAATTTGTCCCTTGTCAGAGATACATAATTGAGAGTATAACATACATCTGGGATTTATTTGTGTAAAAAGATACGCAACTGCAATACTACATCTTCTTCCAACCTGGCCCTGTGGTGCCTTTCCATTTAGTGCATTAAGAATCCCGATTTATCTAGAGATATCTTACAAATCAGAAATGACAGTTATTGTTCCATCTTAGCTGTTATTACAGCGGATCTTGCCCTCTTTTCTCTTTTTGTTTTTTTTTAGCCACTGTTTGTCATAGAAGTGAAATAATTTGTAATACAGGCTGACTGTAGATTCTTCCAATTGCTTACTTCAGGAAGACTATTGCCATGATGGACATGACATTATACAGCACAACAGGCAAACAGAGCTCTTGCTGCTGGTGAAACAAAGTGAACTCTGCCAACAAAACTCCAAATTAACTGAAGTTGCAGAAGGCAGTTTTCCAGCCATGGGTTATGGATCATTAGCCTTCTGCATTTTCCGAACTAGTGCTCTTCAAGATCGCTCTGAGCAGCGAGAGGTGGGATTGATGAAGGTAGCAATTTCTGTAAGACATTCTATTTTATGGGTAGTTTGTGACGTGGAAGGTGGGCAGGACCTGCCGTTGTTAAAGGTGAGGCTGTGGTAGGGCACTTTCTGAAAGGAACCAGAAGGTTAGGATTGGTGGGTCTAGCAGGGAACATACCAGTTCAACCCTGGTGCCTTGTACAAGGCCTTCTCTGGGCAGCCAGTGTTGGGGAAGGTCTTTCCTGGAATCATGGAATCATCAGGGTTGGAAGAGACCTTTAAGATCATCCAGTCCAACCATCAACCCAGCACCAGCCCTGTAACCACCAAACCACATCACTCAGTGCCAGATCCAGATGCCTCTTAAGCACCTCGAGGCCTGGTGACTCCACCACCTCCCTGGGCAATCTATTCCAATCCCTGACCACCCTTTCACAGATGAGGAAGGACTCCTCTGTTATTACCATTAATTAACATCACACACTTGGCTTTGCCACACCTCCCTCACCACAGCTGGAAAGAAAGTGGTGTGAGCAGATTGGGGGTTATATCAGTGAGGTATTTCCTGACGATGAGGGTTGTGAATCTGCCCCATTATCCCTTCCCAGTGTGAGAGTATGGGGTTTCAGTGTTTGCCTGGTGGAAAAGGGCTGCAGGGTGCCACCAGAACCTAAGGGAAAGGTAGAGACCCTCAGCAGGTGAGTGACAGCCCTTCCCCTCCACAAAGCACCTGACCTGCAACCTCAGCTGTTTCCCTGGCAAGGGCTTGGGGAAAACAGGGTGAGGCAAGGAACTGGAGGTTTTGTCCAGGGATGTGCTCAAGCAGATAGGAAAATTCCATTTATGTTCCCCAGAGACATGAGTTAAGAAGAAGTAAATGTCCTTATCTACAGCACAGCTACTTGAGGTGTGTGGAAATCCAGTGTGAACGTGTGGGTGCCCTGGGCTGTGCAGAAATGCTTTATTATCACTGGTGAGGAGGGAACTGTGCTGCCTTGTGCCTGACACTCCTTGTTGGACTTGGGGGAGAGGAGAAGGAAAATTGCACGAGGAACTCCTTGTACTTGGTTGAGTGTCAGCACGACGAGGTGGTGGGGTTTTCTCCCTTCTTTCTCCGAAACATAACTTGGTTATCTGTCTCCAAAGCCACACTTGGTTATCTTTCAGCTTGACAGCAGGATTGTGTTGCAATAATCCCAGAGCTGTTGATTCACCAGTGATTTGTTTCTGTTGAAGACTCTTGTAATTAAAAAAATTGCCATAAGGTAGGGTCCACACAATGTGGACTTTGGGGATTTATGTATTAGAAAGGGTTGAGCAAATCCCAGAAATCCTCTAGTTTGCATATTTTGTCTGTAACAAAACTATTGCTTCGGTCCAATATAATTTGAATTATTTTGTCATCAAGCTGGTGTAACAGAGTGGAGAATGGGCTCTCAAAGCTTCTTGAATATAGGAGATTGAGTTAGTTGCTAAATCTGTTTACAGAAGATAGAAGTTATGTCATTATAATGCTGAGGTGTGTTAAAATAAAATCTTGAATTATGACACTCCTCTTTCAGTTTGATTGTATGTTTTAAAATAATTGCTATTGTGGAAAGAAAATGTCTGTGAGTTGGTCATTGTAATGCATATATTTCAATGTTATTAATCCTAAAATGTGACATTTTTATTACCCGGTGAGAACAAACTATGAACAAAACCCAAAGAAGCCAAATACATGCCAAAGAATAATGCCCCAATCCTCCAAAAATTAACACATGTATTTGTGTTTATACACAATAAATAATTCTGATTTGCTATTTACTTAAATGGGACAGAGATTTCTCACTCAAAGTGGCATGAGATTAATCCCAGTGTGTAAAATTAAGACTGAATACCAGCCTTTGCGTGTTTGGAGCCTGTGTTAAAGCTACGAGGACTGAACAATTTTGCTGTTAGTTGTGGTGTGTTAATCTAGAATAAGCCTCTTGAAATTATTATAGCATTGAGAATTTAAAGGAATTGAATAGCGGAATTTAATCCTTTTTAAACATTCCCTCAGGGTTTGTGTTTTTTTTCTTGCAGACACCCAGACAATACAGCCAAGCACTAAATAAGAGTAACAGAGTTCATCTTTACTGTGCATTTCTGGACTATAGGTATGTTACATAATTTCAAATCCTTTAACTCGCTTTAATTAAATTACACGTGGTTTGTGATGCTGTGTATTACCTACATCCTTCTTGTTTCCCTTCATTCATGGAAACAGTTAAAGAAATGGAACCACTGGTTTAGACAAAATGCAGTCTGATAGTGGCTTCTTACCATAAATAGGAGACTTGTTACTCACAGACCCTGGATCAGGTGGGTAACTGGGAGACTCAAAAGATTTTGTGATCAAAACTGCAGAGTGATACAAATCATGCTTATCTCGGTTTATGGGTATGTCCACTTGGGCAGATGCTTGGATGTTTTACAATGGCAAACCTCCAGCACAGCCATTGTTTTCACTGGACCTGTGCCTGTGTCACAACAGCATGTGAGATCAGTATTTCAGAGCTGTGAATTTTGGCTAATGCACGGAATGGATAAATATCACATCCCTGAATGCAAATTGAAATTAAAGGGAAACAAATATCGCCTCAAATTTCAGTTGGAAAATAAGGGCTATGGAAAAAAACTAGTTTTTTTCTTTTTCTATTTTTTTTTTTTTTTAGCTCTGAATACATTTCATCTGGTTTTGATTTTGAAACATGCTGCTCTTACTGAATTAATTGAGAATTAATACAAGTACTGAATTTCGAATTTGATGGGGATTAACAGTTTTTGAGCCGTAATGGTATAAGCCTAATTTATGTAGCAACAGCCCATGATGCTGTGATCCCTCCTACCAGCTTGCACTTGGGAAGGTCACTGTAATTGTTTTATTGAAGTTTTGTTTCAAATGTGTTGAACTGTCCCAGCTGTTGGCAGTTACCCGTTGTTATGGTTACTCACAAATTACAATAAATCAGAAACAGATTTTACTGCAGCAAATTAATATGGTTGTGGCATTGTTCCTGTGCTGCTCCCCACTGGGGCTTGGGCCCTTGAGGCTTTGCCTCGGGGTAGAAACTTAAATATGAAATCTGTCCTTCCAAATGAGTTTCAGTTGTGTCAAGATGGTCTTATTCCCTAGTGCGTGGTAGTTAAAGAATAAGGAATTAGTTTCTGACCTACAACAGACTCTCTTTGAGAACTCAAGGAGGTCTCGAAGGACAGAAGTGTGAGGTAATACCAATCTTTAAAATAAGTACTGAGATAATGCAGATCACTCAGTGTAGCTGCAGGACCCAGAATAATATCAAAAGTAATAAATAGTGAAGATCAGGCAGTTTGGGTGGGTGACCTCTGGTGCCTGAGCCCACAGAGCACCCACATACCTGTGTCTGTGGCTTTTCTGTCCCCACCCCACTTCAGGACTGTGATAGCACAGGGAATTCTGTTTTTCCCTGGCTCCAAGAAAAGGCAGACTCGTGAGCATCTCCCAGACCTGGGCTCAGGTCCCACAGCCTGCCCAGCCACACCCTCAGTGGAGCAGGAGCTGCTGTTGCTGCCCCTGAGGGTGATGTGTCAAAACCCAATTGATGGGTCCCTGGAAATCGTGCTCAATCAGCCTGAATTCCTTCTTGTGACAGGATGAGTGGGACAGGGGCAGGCACAGATAAGACACACTAACTTTTTTGGGTTTTGCAAGATTATTGATTTGTCTGATACTACAGAATACAGAAATCTGGGTCAGGGTGAAATGCCATAAATAAGATGCACAATATCAAGAAAAAAATGTAGTTATCATAAATTGACTATAAAACTGGGAAGAAATCTCTAGAAACATTCGTGTAGAGGACTCAACTGCACCTTGTCCAGGTCAATATTTTCCTTAACTATTTCCATGATGGAATTGAGAAGATACTAGCAGTGTTTGTGGATGCTCCAGCCTGAGATGGCATTCCAAATTTCTATCTCCTATATAGTACAGTGCATGTCAAATTAACCTGCATAAGATGCATTTTGCTAAGAGACTGTGTTCCATTTTTTGTGTGCTTTGCAGCAATGGAGTTGGTGTTTGGTCTAATGAAGGTTGTGTGCGTGAGAGTGGGGACCTCAACTACTCGGTGTGTCTCTGTAACCACCTCACTAACTTCGCCATTCTGATGCAAGTGGTGCCTCTGAAGGTGAGATTAAGCAAAGGAATAAATCTATCTGTTAAAAATGAAGCATAAAGGCATCAGTTTCCTCCTCATGCCTCATCAGTTAAGTGACTAGGACTGGGCTCATTTATGCCCAACTCAGATTTATTCTACATCTTGCTATCTGGTGGGATGTTTTAATACTTCTTGACTATATTTATGTTTTAAAACTTTTGGGAACTGAAATGAAACATACCTGTGGTATGAAGGTCAGAATTCTCTTTACCTTATTCTCAGTGTTTGGGCATGATTTCTTAAAGTTCTAGGCAGGAAAAGCACTAGAGGACATTGTACAGGTGACCTTGGCTTTTATGATTTGTTTTCAAGACAGAGACAGCTGAGATGTGGCTGTTTAGGGTTTTGGTAACTAGATTTGTGGAATATGAACATCTGAGCTCAAACTCCATGTGAAGTGAGCTCTGCTGCCAGCTGGCCCCTGCTCTCATCTCTGCCATCTTTCCAAGTGTCTCCCCACTGCTGCTTCTTCACCTTGTTGCCAAGCAGGGGCTTGTGTAGAAGGAGCATGAGAAGCAAACCAGTGCTTTAGAGTTGAGGGTGAACCCCTTATGCATAGTTTTCTCTATGTTCAGTTCCGTTGTCCAAAGAGTCGGCAAGGAAGCATCTCTTCATGTGGAACATGACTCTTCCTCTCTTTACCCAGGACCTTTGCTTGCTATTCACACTAGTCACTGGTTTCAGATGAAACTTTGATGGCAAAGACGTTGTTTTGCACACTAGACATGGTCTTCTCTTCATGGTACAGAGAGGGAGCAGAGTGCCTGCTCCTGACAGGTGAAGTGCTGCTCCTGCTGAAGGACTCCCTCTCCAAAACTCAGCAGCAGGCAAGGTCAGCCCCATCCTGGATCTTAGCAATCAGACAGCCAGCACTGCCACGAGCATGAGAAATGTTCTCACCACTGTTTTTAGGTGTGCTTCTGCCAGGGAGGATCCAGTGGAGATAGTGATGAAGCTCTGCTCCGAGCAACCCTCAGTTAATAAATGATGAACGTGTAATATAAATAATTTACCAACGGCACATTTAAAGGAGCATATACAAATTGTCTGTCAAATTTATACTCTCTGGCACATTCTCAGTTTTCTGCAGACACCATCCCAATAATATAAATTAACAGGCTGAAGAGCTTCAGGAGGACTCCTCCTGCCACAGCTATCCCTGTGTGCTGCTAACAAGGGTGGTGTCCTCTGTGGTGCAGCTGGAGGGGTTTTGTCAGTTCTGTTGCCACGGGCCCATTGATTATATGGCCTTGTCTCAGGCTCTGCTTAACTGATGGATTTGCTCTCCTTTTAGTCAGCAGCTTTGCCAAAAAAACACCTGCTGCAGGATGGGCAGCGTGGGCTGGTGAGGGCAGCACAGGTTCCTGCAGATGCAGGGGTCAGCTTGCAGTGCAAGGGAACTCTGAGCAGGGTTACACCTCTGAGCAGCACCAAAGTCCTTCCAAGGACTGGCTCATCCCAGATTAGAAGCTGGGAGTTGGCTTCTTCGGGTCGTCTGGGTTTTATCTAACTGTTATTATCTTTATTACTTGCAAAGGACCTAATGACTCCAGCTGCTTTCCAAGTATAATTTTTCTAGGAACTCTTCATACTGATAATAAAATGCAGCTTTGACTGAAGACCTCCAACCTTGTGAGACAAAAGTATCCTGAGACAAATGCACTGTTATTAACCTTTTTAAACAGCAGCATACAGGGAATTAGCCAGGATTGAACAGGAACAGCCACCAATAAAAGGCCACTGCAAGAGTAGTTGACTTTTTACTGGGGAATAGTTCTGAAGGTCCAGCTTTCAAATAAACAGATTTAAAATTGTGGTGATTAGTGGGACTCTGCAATAAGTTTTAGTATTGTGTAATATTGGTAATTGGAGAAAAAAGAGATTTCACATCAAAGCCTTTGGAATCGAATTTTTCTGAAGAGGTCTGAAATGCATCAGCAGGAAAGGTTGGATGTGGATGAACCTTCAGGTATCTATCTCACAGTCCTTTAATGCTTCCATTTTCAATATTTCCTCTCTCCTTAAATTTTTGGTCTAATGCATTTCCATCCACCCGAATTTACGTGGAATATTTTTGCATTGTTTTTCCCTCCTTTTACGATAAAAGGAAAATCTCATCCCAAATCTTTGTCCAGGACATACCCTTTAAATTGACCATCTATGTTTATCTTGTGGTATTAATATTTTAACTAGTGAAAAAAAGTGTTACCTTCACTGTGTAATTGGCATGAAGCTGAGAGTCACACAAAGACAGGCTTCCTGGCTTTTGAGCTGTACAAGAAGACTGTGCTCAATTACAAATTCCTGAAACATTCCCTAAGTATTTGCCTCAAATGTCTGAGCATTAGAGCCCAATGAATCAACTACACAACTGGAAACTCCTTTCAGGTGTCCTTGGAACCCTCTTAAGTAAATGTTACAGTGCTGTGGATTTTAAGCACCTATTCATGTTATTGACCATGTTCTGAAATTCATGAGCCAAGGTCCAAAGGGCCCATTTGAATCACCCATTGGAATATTAGATTGTCAATGCTCTAAGAAATTGTTGCAATGATGTTATATTTGATCTTGAACTTGTGTGTATTTTATTTTTCTTATCGTAAATGAAGTGCACAGATAATATGAGACAAGTAAAAGAGAGGGTAGGAGTATGCAAATGCCCACATTTGAACAGTTCTGTTTATACAGCTATTATATATCTGTGGCCATATAAATAGAAATGAATGAAATTTTTCCATATGAACACTATTTTTGACAGAATGTTTCATTTTCTTCTTGCAGAAAAGGGCCTGTTTTTCATAAAAAATGTAAATAAGTTGTTGGAAATGCATTGCCTGAAAACTGCAGCGTTTTTCATCAAATGATGAAAAAAAGTGAATTCATTTTTCATGGGAATTCTTTGAGTGTTTTACACTTCCATTCTCCTATGGAAAGTATAATTTCCCTTTCTCTCCATCATGCTGATAAATGCAGCTCTCAGGGGAGCAGCAAGAGTCAGACATCCTCTCCAAGGGCACCAGAATGGCCTTTAATGCAGCAGTAAAACCAGGTATAAATAGTTCTACCACTCCTTGCAGAAAGGCAGGCAGCTGCACAGAAAACAATTAACAAAATTAAAAAGGGGAATATTGACAGTTGTAAAGGGTTGTGATACAGACCAGCACACAGAGCTGGGAGAGCACTGTTGGTGTGGAAATCCATGAACTCTTGAGACCAGCTCAGTGTGATAAGTGTTCTCTCTCAGCTCCTTTTCATATTGATTTTCTTTCTGCTCAGGAAAAAAAAGAAAAAAAAAAAAGATAAAAAAAAAAGGCATAATCATTCCATTAATGAGGCATTGCAGTTATTTAGAGTTTGCTGTTCCCACCCGGAGAGCACGGCATCCTCAGGGAGTGCAGGCAAAGCCAAGGTGTCTCTAAGCAACAAACACCAACAATAAGTGACCTTCCTCAGAAGTGTCTCCTCTGCCCCAGGAATGGGTGTGGTGAGCATTTCTGATGACCACAGAGCTGAGCTGGTACAAGAACTGTTTGTCGAGGATGGTGACTCTTTCTTCTGAGCTGTGTTAAACTCCAGCAAGAATCTCCTTGCTTAACTCCTTCTCTTTGTTCCTTCACATAGTCAAAGCTACCTTTTCCCACTCACAGAACCACAGCATGATCCTGACCTGCTCACCCTCCCCCAGTGCCTCCCTTCCTGCTCCTTTTCCCACCTGCACCAATATCCAGCAGATCACTCTACATATTTACACATTTTGTGCATCTCTTGTGCACATAAATCCCTTGCTAGATTCCCAATATTTTTTATCATTGCAAGTTTATTGTAAGATACTGAACTGTGATAGTGATATATGCACCTGGCTCAGGGAGGAATTAAATTGTCTCACATGGATTTCAGTTTGTTTCAGTGAGACACTCATAGGAAGAAAACTGTAGCATATCCTGCATCTGATGGTGCTTTCTCTTGAGTGCTTGAAATGCTGTGAGCTGAGGGATGCTGGATTGTTACATGTTTATGGCACAGACTGTCAGGTGGGTCTAATTTCCAGGGAGTATAGAAATGCAAGAAGGTTCTTAGCAACAAGCTGTGAGTTCTTGATTTTTCTTCTTGATCTTGGCTCAAAAGAGGTGAGATTAATTCAGTCACTGTTCTACGGTATGCCAGCTGGAAGTAATCTCCAGAGGCTGAAATCTGCTGAGATGAAAAGGTGTTTTTATTCCAATATTCAGAGAAAGAAATTGAAAGAGAGCGGGCACAAAGAAAAAAATTTAAATTCTGGAATTTTCACTTAAATGTGACAAAATGAACCTTCACTCTCATGTCTGTGGGCTGTACACCAGGATGTGAAGAAGAAGGACTTTAAATGCCGTGAATTAGTTAAAACTGAGCTCGGATCACAAATGTAGTTGAACACCACTCCAGATTTTATATTCATTTCAGCAAGAGCTTGAAAGCACTGGAGCCATGGTGATTGTGAAAGAAGGGCATGAACAATGCTGCTGATGAGCTCGGGGTACATGTGGGAGGTTTAGCTGCTTTCAGGGATGCAGGGGATTAGCAGTTGTAACAAGTTTATTTCGGGAATGAAATAACCATCTTGGAAAAACTTACAACCATGTGGTGCTCAGATGTCAGCCTGGCACTGACCTGTTAGCCTGCTGATGAATTGGCCCCCATGGAATGCTGGAATTATTTGTGTTTTATCACTCTACTGTTATGTCTGTATCACGCCTGGCCCGAATTCTTGCTCGCTGAGATTCATTTGTCTTGCTGGTTTTCACTTGAGGAATTATAGCATTTATTTTGAATTTTGGAGATTAATGGTCATGAGCTGGTTTAACCAAATAAATAAGTTAATTGAAGGTAAAATGTGACCAAAGATGAGTGGAATGTTCCTGAAGGGACATGTTCAGCCCTTGATTGCTTTCGTGGAGTTGCATGGATGTAATTAAGGTCAGCACACAATCAGT